TGACAGGGTTAGCTTCAGGTCCATTGGGTGCCCGTATGTACTTGGGGAAGAGTTTGGGCACTTTCCTGAAATAGAGTGGGGTGAGTTGGGGGTTACACTATCCCACCAAGCACAGGGGCTGATGTCCCACCCCCAGGAGACACTCACACAGGCGTGTCCCGGGTGCCCTGCAGCAGCTGGGCCAGCTCCATGCGCTGTGGTGCACCAGGCTGCAGGTCGGTGGTGTGCCTGTCGAAGGTGTGCTCCACCGTGCCCCCCTTGCCCGGGTCCCTGCAGAGGAGAAGCTCAGTGCATGCAATGAGGTGCAGGTAGGGCTGCACATCCCCTTCCCAGGCTGGTGGTACCTCTGGAAGTTCCAGGTGAAGCGCAGGGTGATGTCAGAGGAGCCGTTCTGCAGCTCCCGCCTCATCTGCTCACGGCTAGGGGGGCTGATGCTCCACAGTGAGCCCGAGCTGCCCTCGATGTGTGCAGTCACGATGTCCTCGTAGTCGTAGAGGGAGATGAACTGCATGGCTACCTGCCACCGGGAGCGACACAGCTCAGACACCACCCTGGAGGCTCTGCAACCCCTCCCCATGCACCCAGCAGGATGGAATGGGTGGGTTTGGGGTGCTAGGGGGGATTTACCGGCTGCCTCTCGAACTTAGCAGTGAGAGCTTCGTATTCCTGAGGGGTGAAGGGCTCGATGGACTGCTGCTGGGCGCTCATGGTGAACAGTGGCTAGAGAAGACAGGGTCCATCAGTCAGGCAACAGACCCTAGAGTCCCATCAGAGGGACCTCAGTGTCCTGGCTGGGCACCCCAGGGCCCACCCTAGCACCCTCACCTCATACCCCCCAAGCTGGAGGGTGACGGTGACGTCGATGGGGTGGTTGACGACACCCACCACAGAGCGCACCAGTGACATGAAGAGCAGTGGGAACCAGATGATGGCCACAAGGAAGAGGATGATGAGGCCTCCCATGCCATATTTGACAATCTTCTTCTTCTTCTGCCCCTTGGGCTGGGGGTATTTCTGCAAGGGGGTAGGCAGCACATGGTGTTGGGCGGGCTTGGTGGGACCCCAAGCAACAAAGGGCTTAGTGGGGGGTATAGGAGGGATGTACCTTCTCAGTCTCACGGCTGCACTTGATGATGAAGATGTTGGCATAGATATCATCCACACACATCCAGTTGGAAAGGGACAGGGTGGTGTCTGTCCAGACCCAGTCCATGACAGCTCGCAGCTCCACCAGAAAGGGCACAAGGCGAAACCTGGTGGGGACACAGGGGGAGGGGGGTGGTACAGCACCCTTGGGGTGCCCATGGGTCCCCACAGTCCCATGCCATACCCCTGGAAGAGGAAGAGGTTGAGGTGGTTGTATTTCTTGGTGAGGAAGTTGCCCAGGACGTGGGTGGGGTAGCCACAGCGGATCTGGTAGGCTGACAGGGCGAAGTAGATGCACTTCACAAAGTACCACAGCTGAGCCACTGTGTTGAGGCTGAATAACCTGCAGGAGAGACGTGTCACCCCTCAGCTACCTGCCTGGCCAGCCTGGACCACCACATGGGCTTGGGGACCACCTCAAGGACCATGCTATTCCCTGGGGGGACATCCTCAGGGGATGCTTGATACCTTTCAGTGACAGCTGGCAGGATGAAGAACATCCAGATGTGGATGCCAAAGACCAGGAAGACCTGGAAGATGAGCTTGCCCAGCACGGTCTTGCGGAGATAGAGCGCTCGATCGATGACCATGGTGCTGAACTGGATGAGCAGCATGACCAGGAAAGCCTCTGGCACTTGGTTATCCGACAGCGAGGAGGTGATGTCAGCGGCCGCCGAGTGTTTCTGGGATGTACGAGAGGTCAGGATATGGCCCAGCCTCACCCCGTGGCAGGGGCTGGCCAGGCAGTGCCCTGCAGGACCCCCTGCTCACCCCAAAGGCCCAGAAGCCAAAGATGATGATGATGAAGTCGACCACGTCAGCCAGGAACATAAAGGCATAGACATCGGTGGCTGCACAGTGCTGCGTGTGCAGGATGCCTTGGAAGAACTCACGCACTGGTCTGTACGTTTGCTGCACCCTGCAGGGGACAGGACAGAGGAGATATGTGACCAGGACTGCCCCCTGCATCCCCAACCCCAACCAGCACCTCCAGGACTCACATGGTGAGGAAGAAGCACTTGATGCGCAACCCAAATGCCTTCAGCTTCCTCTGAGCATGGCTCTCTTCAGCCTCATCCTCTTCCTCCTCCTCCTTCTCTTCCTCCACCTCCCCATCCCCTGCAAGCGAGGCACAGCATGGGTGACAGCCAGAGTGCTTGCAGCACATCCTGCCCTGGGGGACATCTTGCCTCTCACCAGGGCACTAGGGCTGAGAAGTGCTCACCATCCCCTGGAGTCACCTCTGGAACTGCCTCCAGTTGCTTCCTCCCCTGCCTGCTGCACCTGAAGCGGAGCTGTGTGGCTCTTCCTTCTTCCTGCCCTACAGCATCACCCTCTGGCTCCGTTCCCACGGCTGTTTCCAGTGCTCCTGGCTCTGCTGATCCCTCTGTCCCCTCCTCAGCCACTGACAGTGGTGGGGAAGCTGCTTCCTCCTGGCTCTCCCCCTCTTCCTTATCCTCCTCCTTGGCCTCAGTCTTCTTCTTGGGGAAGGGACGTTCCTTGTGGTCCCACAGCCCA